GGAGACTTCTTCGGCATGTCGAACAGCTACGCCGAGTGCTACCCTGCTACGTAAGGAAGCAGCGAGAAGCTGTGGGTTGGGAGCAGGGTGTGCCGAGGGGCTGCTGTACTCTGGCAGCTAGAACTTGAACATCAGCCCCACTGCTTGTTGGGAGGAGTGGGTTTGACTTCATCTGGGGTTGCAACCTCCTGTTAAAATGCTCCCCGAGTCCTTGGTTCTGGCCGACCTGGCCTTCTCTTACCTGGTCTCTGCTATAAATGACTGCCTGGAGTCTGCTGCCTTTCACTGCCAGGGAGAGACCAAGGTGGCTGGGAGTCTGCTGGGTTCCCTGGTGATTCATGTGCTCGTTGAGCTCTGGCCACAAAGCAGTCCCCTGGCAGAAGAGGAGCAGCTTTCAGCCTGCAGAGTCATCTGCATTTGCAGTCTGGGATGCCCTTGTGGTACAGCTCATCTGTGGGGCCTGCAGTTGTGCAGTTGGAGGAGCTTCTCTCTAGTCCAGGAACTGAACGTGTTTGGTCTAAGGCCACGAGAGATGGCTCAAACCAGCCTGGCTTCAGTCCTGATCCATGTCCCGTGGACCCACTCCAAAACTTTGCTTGCTTTTCTTTACAGAATGGATGATATGGCCGTGGACAGCGATGAGGAGGTGGACTACAGCAAAATGGATCAGGTATGGTGTCGCCAGCCTTTCAGACCAACCAGCGAACTAGAGATCAGTGCAGGCTGAAAGGATCCCACTGGAGAGAGGCAGGCTTGTGCAGAGGGATTGAATGCCCTGCACTGGCTGTTGAATGTGTTTTGGGGTTTGCTGATTGCTGTGTGCCTGGGCCCGAGCGAGATATGTCATCCCAGGCAGCAAACATGTGACTGGCACCTGGCCAGGAGGTGCTGGTGAGGTGTGCTGTTCCGTCCCAACTTCCTTTTCCACAGGGTCTCCTGTCTGGCGCTTCTTGGGGAGGGAATCTCTGTGCCAAGGCCAGACTGGGTACACAAGCCCATTGAACTGGGGCCAGCGGGAGACTGAGATCTTGCCTGGGTGCGCGGGGCTGCATGAGGAGCCCTGGCCAGCATCAGCTGAGCAGCTGCTCCAAGTTGTTCTTTCGCTGCAGGGTAACAAGAAAGGACCTCTGGGGCGCTGGGACTTCGACACGCAGGAGGAGTACAGCGAGTACATGAATAACAAAGAGGCTCTGCCCAAGTGAGTGCAGCCCTTGTGAAGGGCTGAGCAAGGAGTCTGGGTGGGGGTGGCAGTGCTGGCCAGACCTGGGTCCTGGGGGTGTTGAAATCAAGAAAGGGGTTCCCCTGGTGAGGACCTGAGGTGGAGCTGTGGATCCTAGGCCTGGTGGCTTGTCTTTGCTCTTAGTGCCACTTGTGAGGACTTCTGCCCAGCCGCCACTTTCAGGGGCCCAAGCGGGCCCTGGAGCCCAGGCTTGTGGCTGGGGGGAGCAGTGCCCCAGGGGGGCCCTGGAGCCCAGGCTTGGGGCTGGGGCAGACGCGTCCGTTCCCCCGGCAAGCTACGGATGCCCTGTGAGCGCTGAGCTCTGTCCCGCTCCTTCCCCAGGGCAGCCTTCCAGTACGGGATCAAGATGTCTGAGGGACGCAAAACCCGTCGCTTCAAGGAGACGAATGACAAGGCAGAGCTGGACCGGCAGTGGAAGAAGATCAGTGCGGTGAGTGCCCGGTGCTTGAGGTGTCGCAAGCTGCCGGCATAGCCCTGGATTGCTCCCACCTAGTCCTGCCCTCGCTGTCCTAGTTGCGGCTCTGCGGTCCAGCCCACATCCTGGCAGCCAGGCCCTGCCGGTGTGCGTGCGCAGCAGGGCTGGCTCTCTAGAAGCTGGGTCTGCTCCTTGCGAAAGCATCGGCCAAGTATTTGGGGTGTCAGGGCTGCAGAGGCATCTGGAGCTGCATTTGGAGCTGTTGCCCTGGGAGCAGTCCCCATCGGGAGCTTTTTGCTCCGGGCTCCGCAGCAGATGAGCGTGTCCAAAACCAGCAGCTCCGAGCCATCGAAAGGGGCTTGGAAGCGGCCAGGCCTGTTTAGCGGCTCCCTGTTTTCTAACCGGCAGAGCTGGGGGCTGTGCTGGCAGGGGGGGCTGGCCACGAGCACCCCAACGGTACGGGACAGGCGTGGGGAAGGTGAGAACAAATTGCCCTTGGTGGCCAAAATGGAGCAAAGGGGGAACAGGCCAAGGTTCTCCAGGCCTCGGACAGCTTGTGGACAGCTTTAGCTGAGCTCAGCTTGCTCTGGCCTGGCTACAGCTCTCCCCAGGTGGGTCTGGCACCCTGCAGCCGCTCTGCTGCGGTTCTGGGGA